TGAAGCAATATAGATTTAGTCCTGTCCTATTATTATTAGTATTAACCTACATTGGATTGGACAGTCTGTACGAGAAGCAATCATCCTTAGAATGCTGTTTCTACTGTCTCTCATACGCCTTCACAATGAGCATCCCGCATCAATTTGCAATTGGCAATATGCCTTAAACAGCGTGATTTTGACTTCAGCAGAGAATAGAGGCAAATCTACGGGCAATTATATTCCCTCGGACCGCCAGTGCCCTACGCTCACGGTCCAGATCTGCGTCATCAGATGTGAGACCATCCTCTTTCGCGTACGCCTCATAAATGGTCCCACCGATGGTCCCAGCAGCACCATATCGTCCGCGTAGCTTATGTTATTGACGCACACATTATTAATATGACTACCGGTAGGAGTGCTGCTGAGCTCACCGATTAGGTCATTGACATATAATTAATTTAACCTTATGGAACCTTATGGAATTTTTCTAACCCTACCAACAATCCCTGATCAATTGGAGACGATAAGAAAAAGAACTGAGACCTTCTCCTTTTCTGTAGTCGGTTGAAAAGAGTGATAATAATCAAAAGCAAACATCACATAAACCTTTCAAGTATTTCAACTCTTTGTTAAGAGAAACGCAATAATTCGTACAAACATCAAAATATGACAAACGCTTACATAACGTATGTATGTTGTGTCTCCGTTCAATGCTTTGAAGCGCTCCATTCATTGCAGAACCATAAATAAGTAATGTTTACATGACAACTCTGACTTCATAGGTAAAGCTACTGTATTATGTATACTAGCAAAGAATCACTGTCAACTACCGACAACTCCCTATCCGTCATTTATTGTAAAGCGAAAATTTATTTGAATACTAGTTTATGATAAGAAGATTTAGTTTCACGATGAATAAAGGACCAACGCGAAAACGGTTTTGGACAGTAATCAAAGGTGTAATCAAAGGTAGTGTATATTTAATTATTTATTTAGTAGGTGATATTTCATTACTTATAATAGTATTGCCAGTTTATCCCTGTCTTAATGACACCTCCAAAGACAGGTGGGATATACGAGAACGCGTTTCTCGAGACGTGCGGTATCCCTTACCTAAAGCGTCCTCAACCTGTTCGTTTTTCCACATCACAATTTATTTCCTTCCTTTGTCCCATCCACAACGATTATATTTCCAAAATGGTTTGGCGTTACGTAGGCGGCCGATTGTAAAAGATACCAACCAATTTATAATTTTACATACACATAACTTTTCAGAGCATTTTATTTGCTATTTCTCAAGTTGACATCATTTAAGTTTCCCACATAACGAGGGAAAGATCTGCAAAAATTACGAGTAGCCTAGTTGCTACGCATATTCGGTGATGGTGATGACCCGTGAGGGCTTCGCCACGATAAAATACATAAAATATTTAAAGTAAATATACATTGTTTTGGTAGTTATCTGTGAAAATGCTATTCAGATGGTTTGTTAGTATCTCATTAAAACAGAGTAGAATGGAAAAATCATACATACTGCGCCGACCCCAAATAAAATTGGGAAAAGGGTAGGCAGATGATGATGATGATGATGATGTTAGTATCTCATTATTTATATTAAAAATACTAGTATTGGAATTCGTTATACTTTATACTTGATAATTTATGGAGTTAATTCCTGTTTTTTTGCTTTTACTCTCTAATAGTTTCTCAGGTTTTTAAAATGTAGGTTTAACTCATAAGTGGTCTTATTTTCAGGTACTTTTTTTGTGAATTGTTCGATTGTAGTTATTTTATAGGCTTAGTATTAGTAATAGTACATCAGCTTTTTAAGCAATAGATCTAAATATATTTATTTGTTAAAACTTTATGCTCCTTTGTGCAGTCAAGGGTTATAAACGCAGTAGCACCGTAATGTTCATATTCGCACGCCTTTTTGGAGTCTATCACTGTGTGTGTTATGTTTTAATGCACACACATATTATAACCAGATAATACAGACGTATAATGTTGGTTGTTCACATGCATGTGTGCCCAACACTAGATTCCTAGACACCTATTTATACGTTTTCTTCGTATTGAACTTCCAGTGGTAGCACCTATTTGGAAGCGATGCTAAAATTTAACACAGTAGTCATTAGTGTCAGTGGCATAATAGTACGATTAACTTACTTCCACTGTCTTGCCTGCTGGCGAGTGGTGACTGTTCGAGCCTCAGAGCCTGATCACTTTTTGAACTTTTTGTTTTCAAATCAGGATATATCTTTATAATTCTGTTACTTTAAAATGACTAAGTTTACGTTAGAATATGTAATTCAATAAAACAACTAATTATTTTTCATAAGATTATTTATATTTTCATCAATTTTTAAAACAAACTAAACACATTTATGTTTAATATTTTCATAAACTATTTTGGTTGCTTATTACAATTTGTTCTTGTTGTTTATAGAGGTTGACAGTTAAATTTGTTCATTTTCTCAAGGAAAAAAATTACAACTTAACCTCTATATTATAATCATAAACTAACTTACTTTTGTTACTTATTATTACAGTCAACGTAGCGTAGAAAAAGGTTTCTATTTAAATATAATATTTATTTTTATTAATACTTAGAGTGACCTAGATTGTTTCTAATGCTACTATGAAGACGTGAACGCATGGAAGCCACTGAACGGTTTAGATCAGGGGATAGCATTGGCCATGGAATAACCTTAACATTCGAATATTGACGCAACCATTCACTAATAATACCAGCACCTTGTATCGCGTAGTTATCTTAAATAAAATAAGTTCACTACATTCTTCCACAGGATAAACAGGTAGCACACGCAGCAGTAGGTAGCATTTTGTCGTTTAAAACCTCAACGTGATTGAAGTCTAGTTGGTTTGGAACCATTTGTTTCACATTCACCAACCATTAAGCGTCGCTGGAGTAGGCCAAAATCTCCTTTCTAAGGAGAGTGCTATGTTCAGCAGTGGACTGTTATAGTCTGTTGATGATGATGATGATGAGACTGGCTAACAAGTGGTGACTGGTTAATTATCTATTTACTAAACGTCTCACAGCTTTTTTCTAAACAAAACAAAATCTTCTTAGACATTTTGACCCAATACTTAAGAAATTATAAAATAAAATCATTCACAACATTATCATCACACAATCCATCAAAGTAACTTACACTTAAACGGGTTTCATATGATATTTATGATATTAAAGCTACGTAAAGCTATAACGTTAGCCCTAGCTTCAATACTAATATTTGCTTGCATTTTGAATACAAATATTCAATATAATAAACATTAGTAGCAATTAATAACACAAATGCTCGTAACTAAGTTCACTAACCTGGGTCAAAAGTGGAGGGTGTTTTTGAAACAATCTAAAAATCAAATCTACCCCAACTTTTATTGACTACTAGTTTAAAATATTAAATCAAAGATTTATATTCTTTGACGTTAATTACAATACTGCACTCATAACCACATTCTATGAATTCTCAAAAAGTTTCTGTAAGGTTGCATCCACAGCAGCGCCAGACGGACAATTATTGATTTTTGTTGAAATTAGTTACTATAATCATACGCACGTAGCGTGTGATATACGTTAATAGAAGAAGGTTATAAGTCCAACTAGTTATAATACTTTGACTTTGTAAAAAAGGAAATTATAGTACAAATTTAATTCTACAGGATACAGCGACGTAACGAAACATCTATTAAAGCATCATATCTCACATTTTCCAATCAAACATTTATGAGTTCAGTTTGCCATCATTATCTGCCACAATAATAGGTTAATGCAAATGATGGGGTTGACAATGTCAAACGTCATGAATCCAGTTCATACCTAGATCAGTATAAGATAGTCTGCCGCAGTCTGGAGCTCTCTAAAACTGGGTCTTGGGTCTTATACGTGATTGACAGTGCTAATACTAAATACATACGAGTATATGTGTATATACTCGTAACTAAAAACGGACATAACCTTAACTAGATTCACTACACATGATATCTTTACTTTTTTTTGCCAATTTTATATAGGAGGAAGTACAATACATATTTATCTTTCTATACAAGATTAATAAATTTTATCTCAAGTTAATAAAGTAGCCAAGAAATTATAACTTAGTGTAACGACTAAATACAGCTAACGACTAAATAGTAGGGTAAACTAAATACGTAGAAAAACGCTAGTCTGCCGGCATTCAATAATGGTCTTGCTTCCTTTATTACGATCGCAATAAGTCTGCCAGCTGCCCCGGGCAGATGTTGACGTAATTATTCCTAAGGAGTAACGGGCGTAAGCAAATTCCTAATGTTTTATATGAGTGTAGTAACGTCTAAGCACTGGTTTAACTGATTTATTTATACCTACGTGTTAACACCATAAAGCACCATGGTTATTTGTACAACGCTTTCACAGCTTAGGTACTTTAACGTAAATCGATCAATTCAAATGATAATCATTAACCGAAAACCCTTTTAAACTTGTGCTTTTAAAGTAATGTCGATGTCAACGGTAAAAATTGCAGATTACCAGTATTATTCGATGTACATTAGTTGCTTTCTAGATTTATAATGCTGATTTTGTATAAACTATTTTTAATTTCATATTTTTCATAAAAAAATGCAATGATAGAAAACAATTACTTAAGAAAACATACATTCACCAAAATATATGTGCAGTATGTACTCCTGAATTATTGACGTACTTCCCTGAAGGTTCCAGTTTGTGTATATGATGGTTTAGGTAAACGAGGGTTCGACTACCAAGCCAGGGAATTTGGGTAGATTCTCTCCACAGTGTCTTGCCTGTGTTTATTCTGTGCTGTCTCCGTCCGTGTACGTGGTACCGAAGACATTTCATAACTAGGTATCCCCAATATTAGCCCATTACAGTATAATTCATAAGATCATTTTAAAGTAGATATTTAAAATTAACATTTTCGATTCAGCAACGCCATAAGTTTTTACAAATATATATACATAGTAGTAACTTATACGATGAAAGTACTCACCGGTATCATTTTTGGGGGACATGTGTATTTCCCCCTTATTTAACCGTCGCACCTGTAACAACCGAAAAGGCACATTAATTATAAATAATGGGAAGAATAAACATAACAACAAAATATATGTACCAAGGGTCTCGTAATTTTAAAAGCTTGTAGCTTTTCTGTTTGTAAGAGCACAAGGAACTACACTAAATGTTGCTTTCAACCACATCGCGCATATTTTTTACTAGCTGAGACCCGCGGTGTTACCCGCGTTTTTTGTTATAACCGCGGGCAACGCCGCGGGGCGAAGCTAGTCTAAAAAAAGTAGCCTAAGTTACTCCTTATGTCATCAGCTATCTGCCAGGGAAAGTCCCGTCGAAATCGGTCCAGCCGTTCCAGAGATTACCCGGAACAAACAGACAGACAGACAAAAATTGTAAAAAATGTTATTTTGGCATATGTACCGTAAACATGCATATGCATTTAGTAAAAAGCGGTTATTTTAATATTACAAACAGACACTCCAATTTTTTTAATTTGTATAGATTTATGTTATTGTAATTTAAATATGCACGGTAAATATAAATACGTATTTGGTATTAGTAGTGTAAATATAATTTATAATAGATATATATCTAGTTATATCAAATGCTTATCGTTTGAAAATACATTTTCATAAATACGTTTATTTATATGTAAACAGACAGAACGTAAAGGGTCCTTTTTTATTTTCTCATTGAGAAAACTGAAAACTCCAATTTTAATATATAAATATTCCTTGTCAACACGAGGCTGCTGTTATTATTTTAGAAGTTACTTAAAAGACAAATCGAAGTTAGCATTCTAATAACCCGATGTGATTTATAGTGTGAAACGGTTCAGGTAATTATAATTTTATTTAATAATTTTAATTTTATAATTTTTTACTTATTTCATTTATTATACAAATCCGTTCTTATATGCAATACTGCTCTCATCCCTAGGTGAGAGTATCTGATTCTGGAGGCCAGGCAAAGACGTGCTTTATAATTCAATGGCTCAATCTTAAAATGTTTGTTTCTTTGTGTGTTCTACCCATAGTTGACTAAAACTAATTGTATGCACTATTTATGATAATGGTTCTTTATAAATAAATCTATACAAATGTTATAAAGCAGAAGATTTGTTTATAATGCGCTAATCTCAGGTTTTTAATTTTCCGATTTATTAAATTCCTCTGGGTTAAGTGATATTTAATTGAAGAAAGTTTCAAAATACCCACATCAAAAAAGTCTAAGCAACTAGTCTAAATGTCTAAATATGGTTTTGACTTTAAACGATTCTTTAAAAATATTTATATTTTGGTTATTAATAACAACTAAGCATTATTTGATGCATTAGTGACTAAATCAATTAATTCTTAATTCAATTGTTCATTTAATCACAATAATTAACAATATATGTACCGTAACATAAGTAATATAAAATAAAGTTAAAACAAAATAAACTTGCATCTTTTACAAAACTAAACGACGACCTTAATTTTCGAATCGCTTCCAACGAAATTTTAACAAGCCTTTCAGTTGTTGGTTTGTCGGCACTTTGATCTGGTCTGGTCTGAAGATTATCCAGGCCACGGTAATACCCGGATGTTTACCAAGTACTCTCCGGTCCTCCGAACTGTGTGCGTACGCGCATCGTTATGCATCAGCGTGAAATCTTCAACGTAAGTTTCAGCGTTGATATTGCCATCTACAAAAACGAGCTGAGTCTGTTCTTCATAATACCGCCCATATCCTGGACGCGTCTGAGCCGTTCAACATCTCCGAGACGACGATACACACTAATGTGTGGCCTGTAGTCCACTGGACTGGACACAGGCCTCTCCTTGGAAAGGAGGATTTGGCCTACTATAGCACGCTGGCCAGACGGGTTGGCATAGGGTTTGTGTCAAGATAGGGTGCTAGGCTAGAAAACCTCCCCGTGGTGCACCCTGGAAACGCTGGCGATGGCACTGTTTCCTCCTTGTCCACTTGGAGGAGAGGATTATCGCCAGCGGCCAATATTCTAGCAGAAGAGGAGGCCGTTCATCGGCTCTCGGGCAAGGCCTGGTCCTGGTGGGCGTGTCTGCCGGTTGCCCTGCTGGCTCTTCGCTCTTCGGAGCATGGAGGAGGAAACCTCGGTAAAAAACCTGATGGCGGGGCCCTGTAGGGGCCACAGTTTCTCCGCTGACAGCGGTGGAGAAAGGAGGACGGGCTCGGCGTGTACTGACACTACCACCGAGCAGGCAGGGGGACGTAGTCTCCCTGTCAACCGTCGGCATATCGTAATCCCAAGAAGAGCGCTGTGGTTAAGTCTCGCGGCTCTGATCGGGGGCGAGGGTCTTGGCTTAACCGCCCGGATCGCGAGGAAGATAACCTCTCTAAAAAATTCCCCGAATCCCGTGTTCTGGTGCGTGGCCAGGGGATGCATGGCTGATGGGAAGTTCAGTCTCGAGCGCACTCCAAGCCGAGGTACCTGCGGACCCCTCGGTTGGGTTAAAAACTTACGCTTGCCCAGGTAATGGGGGATCTCTGCCCGGGTGGACCTTTATTTCTCCCCCACTCGTGGGATCAATTATGCAATCTTCAAATAAAAATACCAAGAAACGATCGGAAACAAACACACAACAGACAAAGGCAAGCCTAACGAGGAAGCAAAGGGAAGGAAGGAGAAGAGGAGCAGTGGAGTGGATGGGTCGTCCACTGAGGGTGAGGTGGCGTCGGGAACGTCTATCTCGGTGGGGCTCCCAGAAGTCAGTCTGACGCTGGTCTCTGGGAGCCGAAAGGCATCAGATCGGCTGCGTTCCGGATCCGCCGTTTCGTCGGATGGCGCGGAGGCCATGGAGGCGGAGCGAAGCGACAGCCGGAAACGCGGACGCTCCAGGGACGAGGAAGCCGACACGTCCCAGGAGATGATGCCACCAAAGGTGGCTAGCAGCCGCCGAGGGAGGGCACGCAAACCGGCCTCGGTCTCGACCCCGTCACGCTCCGCGTTCTCAAACGTGGAGTCGTACAGGAGTGTACGAGTGGATGGCGAGGCCGTAGCGGAGGAGGAGATCGCGCATCTCCTGCTCAAGGTTCGGGAGCCGGTGGGGGGAAATGCCCCCCAGGCTCCCGTGTCCGTGCAGGAGAGGGCGAAAGCGGCGGTGGCCGTCATCCACAAGGTGGCCACCAAGTCCGTAAACCTAAAGGGCTCGTTTGTGAGGGCCCTTAAGGACTCCTCCTCCGCTTTGTCGGAGGTCGTGGAGGGCCTGGTGGGCGATGTCTCTCGCCTACAGTTGGCCAACGAGAGACTCACGGAGCGGGTGAACGAGCTGAGCGCTCAGTTCGCCCGCTTCCAGGCGAACCTCCCCGAGCGGGAAGTCCCGTCCGCGTCCCAACCTGCCCCTACCACCAACTCAGGGGCATTTGACTCCCAACTGCGTGAAATCCTCATCGCAGTTGGGAATATGCTGGACGGACGCCTGGCTGGCCTGGAGGCGAGACTGCCCCCTGCGCCGGTTGTGCACCCCCCGCTCGCGTCGGCACAGCGGCCTAGGGCCGCCGCTCCGACCGCGCTCCCCGTGGTGGGAGGCCGCGTCTCTTACGCGGCGGCGGCGTCTGCCCCGACTCCATCGGTTCCCCAACGGCCCAGGCGCCTGCCAAGGCACCTCCCCAGACGCCGGCCAAGGCGCAGGCCAAAGTGCCGGCCAAGACGGGGCATAAAACGGCGCCGAGGAGTGGAGTGGCTTTCCCTCCGCTCCCCACTCCAACACCCCTGCCGGGCCCCTCCGCACCTGCCCCTGCCGCGGCTGTAGTGGTGACCGTGTCCCCGGAGGCGGCTGACGGCGGGCTGTCCTACGCGACCGTTTTTAAAAAGGCCCGGGACAGCCTCGCCAACGATTTTGGGACGGTGGGGGTCAGGATGCGCCTCGCCCAGACGGGAGCTCGAATTCTCGAGTTCCCTGGGGCTGAAGGCGCAAAGACGGCGGACTCGTTTGCTGAGAGGCTGCGGGGTATATTCGCGACCACAGATGGTGTCAGGGTCGCCAGGCCTACCAAGTGCGCGGAGCTGCGCATCTCGGGCCTGGAGCTGGCGGACCTCCGTGCGGCCTGTACACGTGCCCGGAGGTCCAACACGCGCAGTCGGCGGCGTCACCGTGGAGACGGTGAGGAGGACCGGCTTCATGAGGAGTACCGAGAGGCTAGGAAAACTCTGAAGCTGGCCATTAGCCGCGCCAAAGAGATAAAGAGAAAGGAGATGCTGGAGGGTCTCGATCGTGACCCCTGGGGTCGCCCTTATCGCGCGGCGCGACAAAAGCTCCGCGCGTCGGGCCCCCCCCCTTACGGGTGGGTTTCCCCTTCCTGCGAGTAGTGGTTGAGGGCCTTCTCCCGCAACGAGCGGAACACACTCCCCCGGCGATGGCCTCCTTGGCCGGAGACGGCGGGGAGCACGAGGAGGATGATGTTCCGCCCGTCCGGGATTCGGAGGTAGGGGCGGCTGTTCTACGGATCCGTTCCAAGAACACCGCCCCTGGGCCAGACGGGGTACCGGCCCGAGTGCTGGCCCTAGCCCTCAACCACATGGCAGATCGCCTCGGGGAGGTGTTCGACGCCAGCTTGGCGTCGGGACGTTTCCCTGAGTGCTGGAAGAGCGGGAAGCTGGTCCTATTAAGGAAGCCGGGACGGCCTGCCGATTCGGTCGCGGCCTACAGGCCCATCGTGCTGCTGGACGAGGCGGGTAAATTGTTTGAGAGAGTTCTCTCTGCCCGCATCGTCCGGCACCTCTACGAGGTGGGCCCCGATCTGTCGGACGCCCAATTTGGTTTTCGGGCGGGGCGTTCGACAGTCGACGCTATTTTGCGCCTGAGGGCCGTGACCGAAGAGGCTGTGAGCTGTGGCGGCGTGCTGTTGGCGGTGTCATTGGACATCGCCAACGCATTCAATAATCTGCCATTCAGCTGCATCAGGGAAGCACTCCACTATCATGGGGTGCCAAAGAACCTGAGGCGGCTAGTGGCAGACTATTTA